CTGCGCAGAAAGTCGACGGCGTTCAAAGCTCCTCCTTCTGTTCTCTGATTGGCCCAGGTAAAATAAACTACAAGCAGACACTGCACAGAAAATTGACGTTCTCYTCTCTGATTGGCCCGGCTAAAAATCTGCCAGCGAAATCCATCTCAATGGGAGAAGTCCCAGAYGGAGCAGTGAAGRGAAACTAGAAYTGAGCGGAGCTGCGTATGAAGACAAGGGCCAGGCTAGGCTGCCTCAGACAGCACAGGATTTCTGAAACATGCATGAATGAGTCAAAGCAAGACTCTAATATGTTTTTGATGAAGGGATATAGTTATAACATGACATAAAGCTAAAAAAGTAGATTTTACACGATATTGCCCCTTTTAATAATTTGGAGTTTAAAATTAATCATTTGTCACTAATTACCATGTGAGCAATGAGTGGTTGTAGATGCAAAAGTTATTTTTTTGTAAAGTTATTTAGGTAAAAAATAAATTGAGCAATTGGAAACAAATTACATTTATCACACTGAAAATGTAAGCATGCTTTTATTATGCATGAACAATGTTTTATAAAAACCATAAATTCTTAGTGGTTTACAGTGTTTTCAATTCATGAATACCTATTTATAATAGATCCTTTAAATTAGGTTGCCTCCTATTAATGCGGTACTGGAAAATTACACATTGAATTGAAATGGAAAAATAAAAGACCTCGTTATAATGCGAGGAACTGGTCCAACTTTATATCACTCCTTATTTTAATGCAAAGTGGTGTAATATCCTAATGGTGGCAGTTTTAACACTTTCTAAATCAACACAAATATGGTGTTTATTCACATGCATCATGTTACAGTTTGTAAAACCAGAACTCTTAGAAACTTCAAGTGCAAAATTAATTATTACACTCAAAAACATGTTGATTTAACAAAAATATGTGTAAAAAGGTCCATTATAAATTTTTTTGATAAAGTAATTATTGTGCTATTGTGGATATGTATCTTCCTCAAGTCTTTGTGTTTATTTGTCTGAAACTAAATTAAACTGTACAAATGTTACTGTACATTCTATCAATCAGTCATTTTGATGATCACCTTATTTCAAAGGTGAGCCCAGCTGCTCAATGAAAGAAACTCACTTAAACTGCTCATAGCCAGGATCTTGTTCTTTGTGGCAGCTGGTTGTTAGGGACAGGTGTGGCTCTTTTATTTGCTGGATAACCCTATCAGAGGTCCAATCTCAGTCACTCAGTCTTTTATTTTGACACTCATATGCACATTTCTGCGTATATTTTTGATTGTATTGCACATTTTCGAAGTAAATGTTTAGAACTGAAAATTCCTCTAGTCCTTTGGATTATGATCTGTTTCTTATGACCTTAAGTGAGAATTTGAACATAAACAGCTTCACCATTTGGGTCAGTTCCTTCTTCCATGACCGGCTGTAATTTCATCTAACAAATAATTTAAAATCAACATAATAAGTTGAGCCAAACATGGCAGACATTGTTGACAAAACCCAAACGTTGAAACAACACCGAGGCTTATCTCCAAATACAAACAACAGACATGTATGGAAAATTTTAAAAAATAAATTTTCAATTTTCAATCAGGAAGTACTTTTAAGAGTTTGAGTTACATACAACTAACAGGGAAAAAAAACCTACTGCGCTTTAATTTTTTTAAATGTTCCCCAGTTGGTAAAAATCATGTCTGTTACCTACATGTTTGAGTTACCACACTGATTGTGACACCAGGCTTCAAACTCACCTATGACGTCTACATCAGCGTTGCCGTCATCCCTGTAAGGTTTCCGCAGAGGTTCGCTGTCACAGCTGGCGATGACCTCATCAAAGAACTGTAATGTGTCCTCCTCGTTAGGGGCTGGAGGTGCGGTGGGTTTGACTCTTGATATCTGCCCATGAAAAAGTGGCAACGTTCTTTGCTTTTAACATGTCTTTGAATTCTTTCTGTGATACAATTTAATCTTACCGTTTTCTCCTTTGTAGGAGGTACAGGTGCAGGTTTCTTCTTCTTTGAAGCTTCTGTGGCCTTGGCCTCATTACTTTTCAAGTTGCTCACGCTCTGTGTGTACTGCCTTCGAAGAGCCATAAGTGCTTCCAGGTACTCCAGGCAATTCTGGTTCTGTGAATACAGCCACATCCTGTCCTCCTGTCTCTGGTAATAGTACAAAGTGGACTCCACGCTCACTGTGCTCTTGCTCCGCTTTAAAGTGGAGCCCTCGGCAGTCTGAGCTCTCTCTCTCACAACAAGCATGGAGGTGCTGCGGACCAGCCGGACTGTGCAGGCGTCGTGGTAGTCCTGCCTGGACYGAAACCCACCACCACCATCGCCTCGTCCTTTGTGTCCATGGTGGTTGGGGCGGAACACATTGTTGATCTTCCTGAACATTCCTCTAATTGATCTCTGTCATGCTGTCAAACCTGTATTCTTTAATCTGTGAGAGTCTTCTATCCGTATTTAAAGACATCTGGAAATTCGCCCTCAAACCAAACAACCTGAACTCAATCTGTTTGCTGGGATCAGATGCTGTGCTGAAGTCTCTAAGCTTCTTCTCTGTTAAAAGCTGATCTGAAGCGGGTGTCTAACCTGATCTGAGTGTCTTTAATGTTGTCGGATGTTGCTCAGCAACGGGCAGGTAACTTTACACCTACTGCTATCCTTACACGGTCCTGTCACATTTCTTTAATGGGAAACTGAGTAAACAAAAACAAATAAGCTATCTGACAAACTCTGAGCCTTTTAGCTTTAATATTCATCTATTGATTAATCTTTTTTTATTCTTTATGTTAGACAAAAACAACAATCAAGAAAAACAAAAGCTGAACTTCTGATGAGTTAAAACTTCCTACATTTTGGAAGCTAATATAGAAACCCAACTGCAAAATAATGAATTCAGAGGATGACAAGTCTGGCAACAGGAGCAAACTCAAGAATCCATTTGATGTTCTTTTTATGTCTAAGGTTTCCTCTCTTAATTAATWATAAATCATTTTCTCTTTGGTTTCATCTGTTATTGTTGGGCTCCACTGTTACAAGAGGAGGAAGTCTGCACACAAGAAAGTCTAAACTGAGATGAGTTACATGAAGACAAATGGACACAATAATGGAAAAATCCTGGCTATATTTAGGCCACTTTTAGAAAYCTGTAAGGTCACTTTTACCTGATAGCTGACTTAGACTTACATCTGTTCACACAATATGCATGAAACTTATTGCATTTTTTCTTGCTCACTAGTGTTTCAGAAATGATCTTCCCATATATACATTAAAGGACCTACTTGTAATTTTTTTATCTGTGAAAAGTCCAACTCTAGGTCCTTGTTGTTTTGACGGACCTGAGCCACGTCACTGTTTATACAACAGATAGAAATAAAAWATTTACAGTTAAATTATTTATTTATTTATTTATTTTATTTAGAAATTTATTCATTTGTAACACAAAATAACAAAGAACAAAAAACATGCAATCAAATTGTAAATAAATAAACAAAATAAATAAAAATTATGCTGTTGATCACAGATTACTTTGAGTAAAAGTTTATCAAGGACAATTGTTTTCAAATTATTTTTGTAATAGTGATACAGAAAAGAGGACAGAACACAAATTTGCAGCTGAAATCTTAACCATATAATGAAATTAATGTTTAAACACTAAAAACAACAACAGCGTTATTGGGAAAAGTGAGAATCAATGGTGCACAGTCTGTCAGATGTTATGAACCGAATTTCAGCTGAGACTCATACGGGGATGAAAACAAAGACTAATTTTCATTCTTTAAACAGAATCTAACATGATCTTAAGCTGGACTCTGTCTCATTAGTTCTTTGTTTTAGTCTGGATAATTGTCTGTGTTGTCYACTTCCTCCTTTTTAGCATCTTTCATGTTGGGTTTCTGGCCTCTCTCCTCCTCAACAGGGTCCTGATCCACATGATGGCAAACAGGTGTGGGTCAGATCTGGCACTGCTGGCTGACTGCTGCTGCTGGTTTGTCAACTGGATGTGAGCCAGGTCTGGCAATTCAGGATGGAATACCACAACTGTCCTGGTTGTGGTTTGGTTCATGTGGTGCTGACCCATCCATGGACCACCTCTGGCCAGCCACATCTGAGCCACCTTTCTGTTGTTCTTTGAGGTCTCTGGACCAACCATTGCATGGGCCAGACAGACTTTTCTATATGGGACCTAGATATGATTGAGAACCTCAATAATGGAATATTGTCTGGTTGTTCTGCTGTCATGATGTTGTGAACAAAAGTTCAATATTATTGAAACAAYGTTGTGATTGTGAAAATAACAGGCAGTGACTCTGGGGGATTATCTTGTGGATAAAAGATTCCTGTGGAAGTTTCCATTGAGGCTAAAAGGAGAAGTGGACAATGTGTGTGTGTGTGTGTGTGTGTGTGTGTGTGTGTGTGTGTGTGTGTGTGTGCAAAAGCATCTGAGGAGGTGAAAAATGAATCACTACATCTGCTGTAGTCAAATGTCACACACACATAAAATTATTGGCATTTTTTGACTGGAAACACTAAGGTTTAAATAAAACACCAAAATTATTTTTGCTTGATTTTGTTTGTTCAGATGACTTATTTGAGCAAAATCTGGAATTCTTGTGTAAATCAGAAAAAAATCTCTGAAATGATCAAATTCAGCTGGTTGAGGAGCTAAATGAAACCAGGAAACTAATATATCCTCACTTTGACTAGGCACAGTTTCAAGAAGAGAATAATGACTTTAAGGTCACTTCATTCTCACTTCTGTTTTGCTGTGGACACAGGTGATGACATGAAAACCTCTCTAAGCTCCAAACGTTGTTTAATGTCACATGATTGGACCTTACACCTGTCACCTTTCAGAAAAACGAAAAAGGGAAAACAGTGACTGATACTTTCCATTTCATGATAACTTCTTGGTTAAATTTGACTTTCTTCAGCTTAACACCTGTTTATTTTACATAAGTGGAACATCAACCCGTATCTTTGTTCATGTGTTTGAGCATCAGCAGTTTCAGTTCGTTTTCCAAAAAGAAAACTAAAGTCAGAGATCTGAGTCCATCTTTAAATTCTAATTTAGATGTAATTACAATTAGAGGAGGGAAACAATCTAATGATGATGAAGTAAAAGCTGGTAAGTTTGTGTACTGACATTGAAAGCTGCAAAAACATCAAGTGTWTGAAAGTGAGAAAGCTTTCCCACTTCCTCTTATGGTGCTATATAAAACTGCCGTTACACAGACACACAAACAGTCTGATTTACACAGACTGTAGGAATATACAGCAGCTGCGAGATCTTTGAAGAAAAAAATGCTGAATGTTTGAGAATATTTTAGATCAAATAATAGAAACTGATTTGGAGAAATCTTCTCTGGTTTAAGGTAGGAAAATGTTTGTTTATAATTGTTTCTAATAAACACAATGTGTTTTTTTAGGTGCTGAACTGTAAAGCCTGTTAGAGAGGTCAACACTGTCCATTTTTTTTTGAAAATAGACAAATAAGCTAACTCTATTTTGTTTTTCTGATATTTTGTCTTTATTAGTTGAACCAAAAGTTCAACTCTTCTGATGTGTGGGAAGGTTATGAATGAGTTAATATCTTACCTTTTTCAGATAGCTTTTTGAACAAACAGTTTATTGAAATACAGYTGAATTTTGTCAGAATAAATGAGCTAACAGCAAGTGGAACCAAGGCAAAAGTAGATTTCTGCCATCATAAAACAACTTTAATGTCAAAAATTCACAGCAGGTCATGTAAATACTTGTTAAATTTTAACTTTCAGTCCTGTATCACAATTATTTACATCAAATTACATTTTGAAAAGCACAAATAATGACAGCTAGTTGTGCTCTAGACAGAAATGTTTTATTTCTACAGGAGTAACCATGACATGTAAAATTGAGGGTGGTGTGAAAATGTGTAAAATAGTTTTGCCATAAACTGTTTAGGTTTTTAAAATGGAGTTGTTCTGAAATGGTAGCAACCACCACAATTTGGGTTTTAGCCCTGCTCAAATGAGATTTTAGCTTGTCAATGCAGTAGGGTTGGGCAAAATCATATTGTGTGCAATTAATCGTTAGAAAAACTGCAATTGATTATTTTTTGGCACTTGACGATTAATACGATTAATGTCGCCAGGCAGACTGACTGGAGATTTCCCCGATCAGTCTGCTCAGTGCCCCTCTCCACTTCAAATATGACAAACATTTTTTTTTAACAAAAGTTCAATAGTTTATGCTTCATAACTCTGGTTTTACTTGGTCTATCAACAAAATTTAAAAGTTGATGTTTAGCCTGAATCTGTACTTTTGGCACAACTTGGAACAAATCTTTCCCACTAGAGTGATTTAAATTGGTCATGTGACTAGGACATGCAGGATCTCCAGGAGATTATTTGTCATAATTGTTATTGGCTAACCACCACAATTAATACTGATGAATTTTTTCTGCCATTATTGCCCAACGCTACAATGCAGTCAGAAATAATCTGTTTCTCCTATTTTAAACCATTCCAAAGGTTATCTACAACAAGTAAGATATCATTTGTTCAAATCCTTTAAACAAAATCTAATTTCAAAAGATGTGGACAATCCTTTCAAGTTTAATTTCTAAGTAAATTTTTTCTTTCTTGTTTTTTACAGCCATGCTTTGTGAAGGGAGATTGCTGAGGATGTCTTATGATGACTCAGAGGAGGTGGACTTCCTGTCTCCTCGAAAGGCTTTCCACAGTTCCCACAGGCCAGCTAACGTCTCCTCCAGTCCGACTCCACTCATCCATCACAGCACCTCGATACAAACAGAGGACACACAAGACAGTCCAAGTGCTTCAGAGGAGCTGAACATTTCTCCTTTGCAGTCTTTCAACCTCCAGGGGGTCTATAGGAGAAGACTGATATCTTCAGAGATAGAAATCCCAGTCCAAGCACACTCAGGTGGCGAAACCCCTTTTTTGGTTCCCTCCTTCTGTGAGAGCATCTGTAAAAACTACAGCGACCTCTACATTGGAGGTGAGCAGGTGCTGCCTGTCTCAGCCAGTGACGGTGAGCTGAGGGTCTGTAACGAGGCTCAGGCTGCCGGCCCCTTCCTCCAGTCATGTGATGTACCCCCAGCTGTGGAGGACTCACTGCCAGAACAAACATCTAAAGGGGGTCCACCCTATCCACTGAGGAGAGGGTCAAATCACTGGCGACAGGGCAGCGGCCGCGACCGAAGCTTTTTGTTCCAGGGCCGCGAGGGTCCTTTCTCCAACTCCCTTCTAAATCACTACCTGGAGCAAAAACTGATGGATCTGTACCAGCAGTATATGATGGAGAACATGGTGAGAGAGAGGGCCCCTGGTTCAGACTCGGATGCTGACATCATTTGCCCTCTGCTGGGCTCAGACCTCGTGCTCACCAGCCTGGACCACATCACTCTGCAGCTCAGTCGAGAGGGAAACCTGGAGGCAGGGCTGGCTAAGGACATGGTTCTGAGCTGCCTGCTGCGGGTGGCCAGTGACCTGCAGTCTGGGGAGATCAGCACACCCTTTCTGCAGATTTCAAATGAACCATCCAGTGAGCACCTCACAGACACTAAACAAGAGTCACCATCGGGTTGAAACTAACTCGTTAACTTATTTAACACTTGAGAAAATTTTATAAGTAGCTGCCATGATTGATGTGAGTTTGCATCATTTTGTGTCAAAGTTTCTTATAGTAAACTCATATTATTTTATTTTTTTTCTTTTTAAAAGACTGAACAGGAACTAAAAACTGAAACTGCTATTTCCCCTTTATGTAAAAAAAATCACACAGAAAAACACAGAATTGTGGCTTTTCTTGTCACGACATGTAAGGTTTGAGTTCAATTTAGATCTTAATCCTTGGCTTTGTGTTTGTATTATTGGTTTTTTGTTTTGTTTTGTTTTGTTTCATTGAAGGTTTTCAGCTTCTCATCCACTATTTGCCTCCTATTAGTAGTCATTACATCTGTTCTCAATTAGTCTTATGGATATGAGCACCAGTGACCCCCGTCACCCTGAAAGGAAGAAGCGGATGGATGATGATGGATGGATCCTCAATTTACCTTCATGTATTTTGCTGTTGTCATTGTTTCATGCTGCATTTGAAATTCTTTGATAAAATCTTTGAAGTTTAGATTCTTGTTGCTTTGTCACCTGTGTGCCTGCATTTGGGTTCTCCTACAGCTCACATAGCATCTCTACTTAATGTGAAATRTCCTAATAAAGTTTTCACCTTCACCCATAAATGCATTTGGCTTTTTATTACTTTAGCATGCCTTGATTTTAAAAAAAATATTTTGCAGCATTGTAGAAACATGACAGTGCTTTCAAAATCCATTATCTGGTCTGACGGGCCTCATGTTTTGATACCTTGACTTCATGATGAGCATGGTACTTTTACTATTGGCTATTGATTCTTGAATTTTCAAGAATGTAATTGAATTTTTATGCATCTGACAAATATTAGGTAGAATATGTCAGACCTCATATACTTTAGATCTAGTTTAGAGTTTTAGTTTGTACAGGCAGAGCTGTCAGATAATTCAAAGTTTTAGTTACTTAAAGTACGGTAGTTTAAGACAATCCATCCATCCATCCATCCATCCATCCATCCATCCATCCATCCATCCATCCATCCATCCATCCATTTGGATAGATGGATTCAGGGGGGACCTTAGCTGCTCAGAAGTTGTGAAAATATCAATTTGTTTTTTGCATATAAAAAAAATCACCAAAACGAGTACATTTGAAAACTCTTTATAACGCAGTTTTTTTCCTTTTCCAAATAAAAGTTCTATTCCCTTTTTTTGTTGTTTGATAAAGACATGCGTCTTTGGGAGAGGTGGGGAGTAGTGACGGAATTGGAGGGACTCGGTGAATGTAAGAAAGAGGGGTGTTGAGGAAAAAAAATGGGACCACTGGTCTAACTGACATGTTGTAAAAGTTGAGTTCAATAAAAAAATAATAATAAAATTTCAGCATGTTTATGCTTTTACAAACTGTAATGTTAAAGATGTAGTCAACATCTTTTGAAGTGGGGTTCAGTGGAAAACACTGTATTATGAACAAGAATACAGACACTCTTTCAAAATAACTGAAAAAAAAAAAGAAAACAACAGAACCAAAGCAGCCTGGCTTTGTGTCATCAGTCCCAGAAACTTCTCCAAGAAACTTTGGTTTGACATTTTGGTGAATTCCTGTTTGCCATTTTTGTGTTTGAGATTTAAAAACATTAGAATTGTACCTAATGCATATACTTATAGAGTTTGTACGTAAATTCAACTCAGGAAGACTGATAACCTCACCTGCTCCTGCAGATCTCCTCGTTGTAAACTCAGCTTCATCCAATCAGCTCCTGTCTGCCAGTTAATAAAAGCCAGTCATCTCCATCGCACAGTCTGTGTGCCAGCTGACCGTCAACCTGCCACCACCCCTCCTCCACCCTTCATCTTCTGGAGAAGGTGCATCTGGACCGGTTTTTCCGTTTTCGGCTGTGTCTCTTCCCGTCCCTCAACCCTGCCGGTCAAGGCAGATGGCCGCCTATCCCGAGCCTGGTTCTGCTGGAGGTTTCTTCCTGATAACAGGGAGTTTTTCCTCTCCACCGTTTGCTCAGGATGGAAGTCTGTGATGAAGTGATTCAACACAAACTGCTGGCTTCTTCTTTAGATCTTTTCATGACCACCACCACCAGTGTTGGGCCCCGGGGGGATTAAATCTCCTACCCCTATCTTAAAGCATCTCGTATGAGATTTCAGCTTCACTCAACGCTCTCGTCCTCTGCCGCGGTCCAAGCGCCAAACTCTAATGCCATTTATGTCAATAACCATGTTGGTCCGGTCATGTCAATTAACCTCTTAAATTTCATTAGGCTATGTCTCTTGTGAGTCTTTCCAGGTTGAATTACTTTTCACAATGCAGTTTGAGAGCTACACTGCTGGCATTTAAAACATATTCATTATCTCAATCTTTAAATCCTTTCATCGTTGATAAAATCATTGTGGTCATGATTAAAACATCTCATGAGTAAATACTGTGCCTTGAGATAAAGTTTTCTCATTTTTCATGCATTTTTAAAGGGCAGTATCATGTAAAAGCAACTTCTTTGAGTTTATATCATGTTATAATGTTATACTCTCATAAAAAACATGCCCAAAGCCTTGCTTTGACTCATTCATGCATGTTTGAAAAATCCTGTAGCGTTTTTAGGCAGCCATGCTGAGGAGCAAAATGACAGGTGGGGACCAAAAATGCCTCTGGGGACCAAAAATGCACCTGGGACATGTCTTTAAGCCAAACTTCCTCATGGCAGAGCGCACCCCACCCCCAACCCCACACACCCCGCCCATGACTCCTGCAGGCTCTCAGGTGAAAGTGAAAGTGAAACCTGTCTGCTGAGCTCTCAACATAATGGTGCGTTCACACCGAACGCGATTTCAGCTTCAAAATCGCAGCCAACGCTGAAGTTTGAAGCTTGTGCACTTTGAGGTCAGACGCAGGTCAGCTC